GAGGACTGTGGTGTGCAGTGCGCAGCGTGTGGGAGACCACACAATGTGTTACAGTGCGCCAACCGAGGACGAGGCGGCGTCGGCTTTAAACGACAACGACCATGAGGACGATGGGCAACGCGCTGACATCACGAAGAAAAAAATTCTTGGTTTTGATATGTAAATAGATTCTAATTTATCGTGGCCGGCGCGAGTGTTCTGGCATAGGCCAGAACCCGCGATCACTTCCGCTCTCTAGGGGCGGGGCTTAAGTATCGCTCTTTTCTTGTACGCCACCCGTAACCGGGGTTTTGCGTTTTGTTCTCAAATAAACTCTCACTGAACCACCTTTTTCTATTAGTTTGTTTAACAGAGAGATAACAACCTCTCTGATCACGTCAAGGCGATACCCTTCCGCCTAGCCACCACAAAGAAGTCTCTGTATTATTGAAACGAAACCTAGTTAACCCTGTTCCCTTCTCCACATTTCCCATTCCTTTCTTGCATCCAGTCTGCACGGCACAGTAGCCTATGAGAACATCTCATTCAATTAAGTACTTTTAGCAGTAAATAGACAGACTTTACAGAGGCTGTTCAATTAAAGCAGGATGAGGTGCTGTAGTGGCAAGTGGCGCACCATCACATACGTGTGGTCACGGGTTTTGATCCTGGATTGATACCCGCCTAGACCAACCAAGCCTTCCACCTCTCCGGGGTTGGTCAATTGGTGGAAGAGCCGCCTGGAAGAATATAAGCACTGACTTGAACATCGCCAATCACAGCAAGTCATTGTACAGACCACACACGTATTCGATAAGCCACTACGATTCCGTATGGAAATGCAACGGGGACGCATCTTTAAGAGGGGATCGGTCAACGCCCGAAAAATTGTACTTCACGCTTTATTTGTTGACACACTCTAGTTGATACATTTACAGAGGAAGCGGTGAGGCGAAACGGAAAAAAATTCCGAGATAGTATCATCAATCACTGCCACTGAGTTACTAGGAGAGCTATTGTATGTCATCAAATGCACGGGAAGCTACTAAAAAGGAGGAACAGACCTTTGGAAGAGTTGGTGCGCAAGGTCCCTGATTTCACTGATCTTTCGTTTCTTTCAATGTTCTCGTGCTCAATGAGAGAAACTGGGCCTGGCCGGTTCTCATTGAAGGAAATTATGAGAAAGTGAGTCGTGAGTCTACTATTCATGTATTGCCCACATTTAAGGTTATTGAACCCTGGGAGATATCAAGTATAAATTCGTGAAGTGATGAAAAGAGTGAGTAGCATGCTAGTGAAGCTTATTCTAGCAAGTAAGCTAGCAAGTCATTTTGTTTCTCGGCCAGCAACGCAACAGCCGATGCCACAGATAAATCACTATTGTTTAGCTGAGAAAATGTATGAACAATATGATGTCATTTATCCTTGATTACCACGCGTACGGTAGGGAGAACGAATGCCCAACAAAAAAATGAAGCACATCAGCAATAAAATCAGAAATACCAGTCTGCCCCTTGCCGAGGGTTTTTTCGAGTTTATATGGCCCACAGTACTGCGTTTGTTGAGCTGGTCGTAATGTATCCACACTCTCAGCCATATTGATGTTCAGCTCATCGCTCACTGTCATCAACTTTGTGTTGATTTCGCCGAGCACTTCCTGAGAAAATTTTGTGGCATGAAAGCTAGATTTCGTGCTCTAAGCACTTATGATAGAAGAAAATGCGATCATCGAAATTCGCTATATGATTGCCATCTTAGAGAGAGTGAGAAAATCGAGACGGTTATGCAATAGCAGCCTGTAGGCCTAGGAAAAGATGAAAATTATTAAAAGAGTTTTTTCAACCCACTCTCAGAACTCTGATCATAGAAGGCCAGGCCAGACAGTGGTCGAAATCATCAGAGATATCTCTTAAAAAAAAATTTGGAATTTCTTCGTGATCGATTAAGAGAAGTTTCGGCTGTCCATAAAATGTAAATCTTTATGCACTTGTCACGATGAGAACAGGCTCAATAGAGCCTAGCTTACGTAAAGCAAAAAGACAACCGCGAAGTATTTCGACGAAAACGTGTAGCACGGCAGCAGCACTATATCATGGTTATGGGGAGGTAAAATGTGGAAAGAGAAGAAACGATTTCACTCAATTAAGAACAATGAGCAATACGAATGGAGGTAGAGATAGCGAAAAGTGTTCCCTGCCTCTATATCACCAAAAGCATGGATGATGTGTTTCTAATGAGATCGGGGAGGAAAACAAACAAGGCGTAAATCTCTCCAGGCCGGAGGTAATTCTAGATATTCGAAGCTTCTTTTCGGGACAGGATTTTCAGAATAATACTAAGCAGTTCAGCGGGAGTTTTCTTGGTGCCCTTTCTCCATCTTCAAGTATACAAGGACAAAACAAACTTCATTAACTGACCAGAACAACAAAACGGAAGTTCTGCACGGCAGTACATCTAGTTGAATGGGCTAACTTTAGCTTAAGATGAGTAGAAGAGACGATCCACTCGACAGAACGTCTGGATCGAAACAAAAAGCTTCCGCTCCGAACACAACTCGGTTAAAAGATAGAAGATTAGGATGTCGAGGCTAATAAATCGAAGGAAATGAGTGCGAGTTCACAAAATTTTGCCATTTATATAGAGCAGGCAAACATGGAAGGAAGTGCTTTGTGCGGAAGAACACCAGGACATTTCAAGTAGTTAAAGGGAAATTCAAGCGTCCCAACATTCTGAATTTGGTTAACTGCATCGCGACCGCCCGCACTCTCTTCCTCCGTCCTATGCGCTCAATAGTGGACCTTCATGCTTCATCCAATGAATCCCTCGCTGCCTACTGCCCTCCTTCGAACATGCACTTACTCACTTGCCTTCCTTGAGAAGGCCATCTCTCTGACTCAAGAAATTTAAAAATGTGCTTGAACATAGTACTGCGTCATCGCCGTTTTTCCAGAAACTTCGAGCTCACGAGATCTACGACATGCCCACGCATATGTATGTATGTATGTATGTATGTATGTATGTATGTATGTAT